GTTTGTTTTAAATACTGTCTTTTGTGCTTTTTACGACTGTTTTTTTTTTATTTTCCTTTCTTTTCCCCTCTTCTTTTTCTGTTTTTTTTTCCTCTCTTAACTTTTGCTCTTTTTCTTTTTATTCCAGTTTTCCTTTTTAATTTTCTTTTTCCTTAATTTCTCTTTTAATCATATCTTCGTTTTCTATTGTTTGTAATCCCTGTCTGTGTTTCGCTTTATTTTTTGTTGACTATCCGTTAATTTTTTAATTCTTTCCTTTTAATATCCTTTAAGTTTTTCGTGTTTTGTTCTTCTGTTCCAATTTTGTATTGTCTATTTATTTTGTACTAACTTTTGTACTGTCTATTTGTCCATTTATTTTGTTTTAACCTTTGTATTGTCGATTGTCTCTTGTTCATTTGTTTGGCGTCAGCCATTTTATCTTTTGCAACTAGTTCCGTCTAGTTTTGAAAGTTTCGTATTTTCTTTGTTTTTTCTTTTTTTCTTTGTCTAGCGTTTTCATTTTTTTTTTCTTTTCGTGTTTTCTTTTTTAAATTTATTCTTTCGCCTTTAGGCAAACTTTGTTCTATATTTATTGTACGTGTTTAATTTTTTCTTGCCTCGTTGTATTTGTAATTATTTTTGCTTGCTGTCTCGCTTTCAGGCTAGTTTTGTGTGTTTCTTTTTGGGTTTTTTTTAACTGCTTTATTGTCATTTTAAAATTTCGCTACTAGGTGAACTTTATTTAGCATTCCCCCCCCCCGCCTATAGGCGGTCTTTGTTTCTTAACACCCCTCCCCTTCCCTTTGTAAAATTTTTAAAAATGGAAAAAAAAAGTAAAGCTACATCCTTCGTTATCAAGAAGAAAAAGCCTATTATAGCTGATCTCAAGAAGTCAGTTAAAAAACATTTATTTTCTATAAAGAAACACCCTCCTGACAAAAATGATCCAGAGGAGTACCCAGTCTTAGCAGATACAGCTTTGAATATTAACATGGGAAAAAACTTTGGAAGCTAATATTGGCCAAAGTTAAAAAAAAGTATGAAGGCCAATAATGGCCACAATGAGATAAACATGGAAGCCAATAGTGGCCCAGACAAAGACAAGAATAAGGATAATTTAGAGGCCGGGGAATCGCCTTCTTGTTGGAAGTCCCCATCTAGCTGTATGATCAATTTAGCGGAGTTCTTGGAGTGAGCTAAAAGTTACGCTCACATTGTAGAAGGTGGACTCTTAAAAGCCACCCAAGAATTGAGAAAAATTGACAAAAGAATAGTGTCAGTTTTCGTCGTGGGCAAGCGTACGCGCAAAATTTGTCGCTCGACGAAAGACACAGTGATAAAATCACTGGAGTCCTTTGGGTTCAGGGAGCCCGATATTTCATGTGGGACGTATTGTTACCCACGCCGCAAGACTGCGTTGCCGCATCGAGCCGTGAATTAATAACGAAAGAGTTGATGCTGCGCACAGAGTACAAAGACCGTAGAAGAACCTGTATCAGTATATGAGGACACTCTAAAGTTATCGGGGAAGACATCGCTGTGTTCCTGTATGGTGAAATACTGGGCGCTTCCTGCGATAGCCTGAACGGCGGGGAGCTTTGATATCATGTTGGACCAAAAAGCCTTCCTCTCCATCCCCAACTGTCTGGATGTTGGACGCTTGAAGCTGCCGGTCATTGTGACCGGCCGCAAACCGGTATGTTGGAAGTGTGGAGAGACTGGTCACCTCTCCTCTTCCTACCCAGAGAAGAAGGCCTCTGGAAGTCAAGCTCCAGTCGACCAAAATCCCCCTCTGACCGCGTCTTTAACTACCGCCTCGCCTGTAATGGGCGTGCCAGCTTCCGGGACCGGGTCTGTTAAACCTCCGGTTGGCGAAACATCTAAGGCCACATTCCTCAAAGAGTCTTTGCCCGCTGCTAGTGCAGTTGCGGATAAGGGGGTGGGGGAATGGTTGGTAGCTGGTAAGGCCAGAGGCAAGCACCAGACAGCGGGTCCTCAGTCCCCTGAAGCCCCAAGGACGAAAGGCACACACAGCCCCACTCCCTCTGCCGACGTTAAGGGCGATGACCCGGCCTCTCAACAAAAAGAAACTGGACAAACAAAAACAGACTCAACCCCCTAATCCTATTCCTTCCACGTCCTCTGCCCGGTCCACACCTTCACCTAAGAAGAAACCTTCCCCTCTGACAACACCGTCCAAATCTCGTCCTCCCAGCAGAGATCCCAGCCCTTATAAACATAGAACTTTCTACACCCACTTCATACTCCCAGCCCTTCCCCTGTTAAACAAAGATACTCCTACACCCCTCTGCATACTCCCAGTCCTCCCCACGTTAAAAAAGCAGAAATGCCTCCTCCCGCTTCCAAACGGCAGAGAAGCCCTACACAGGAGCACAAAGATAGAAAGAAGAAATTGCAGAAACACATCTTCAACACGGGGGAGGATGTCTGCCAGATTTCCCCTGCTCAGGCTGAGAGAGCCCGCGATTATGGTAATCGCATCAAAGACTTAAAGTATTTGCTATCGATAAGGCAATATGCAGACATGGACGTCGAAGTGCCGCAAAATTTCCCGCTTGCCCAAAGGGTACTAACTGTAATCAGAAGGGGAACTGGTGCTTTTTGATTCTTTAGTTTTTCTTTTCTCTTCCAGTTAACTTAGCTAGAGTGTGTTTGCTCATTGGCCGCTTTTATTTCTGTCCCTTTTTTTTTCTTTAGTTTAACTCCCCATTCCCTCCCTCGTTAGGTGGTCAGCGATCTCAGTTCTCTGGTGTATGCGGGGGCGACTTTCTTTTCGCGTGTATGTTTTTTCGCATTTGTTATTGTGTCTGAATTTGTGCACGTCTGTGTGAGTGCTTGAGATGGATCAATGTTTTCCTATATTCTTATAGTCCCGCATCAATTTCGTCCAGTTAACTGATTTTTCTGCCACATTTAAGGTCTGTGGGGGTTTTAACATGATTTTGTTTAGTTTCTTGTAAATAGTTTATAACCATTTTGTATATACAGCATTGGGGTGTTTTTAGCTTGTTGTTATTTATTCCCCTCCTCTCGCATACAATGATTTGGACATATGGGGACTATTTAGGACTCTCATTGAGACAATGAGGTATTTTGGTGGATGTAGTAAGAAAGGTAAGTATGAATGTGTTGTTTTGGTGCTAGGATTATTGTTTTGTATGTTTGGGTCAGTGGTTGTGGCTAGCTAAATTATAAATTAAGACAAATGATGACCGTCCTTTTTCCCCATTCCCTTTTTCGGCCTTGTGCCACATTTGCTGTTCATTTACAGTAATAATTATCGTCAGAATTTCATTCCTAGAGAGATGCCAAACTGACCCACGTAAGTCAAAACTCTGACCAACCAGGACTTTGCCGCGCAAAATATCTCTGACTCAACAATCCACAAGCACACTCTATCTCTCCCAGGAACGCTATCCAAACATCACTTACGATACTTTAGAAAGTGGCATCCTTCTCGCTGCTTAATAAGTATTAGGCTATTATTAGTAAACAATCAAATTCTCACACAACTAAAGGTACGCAACTCCTACCAATTCTGGACGATAATACAAACAAACTTCCGCACACACACTAATAACTGAACTATCACAAAGGACAATTTCGTACGTAACTGTACCCTTAGTTTAATTTTCTGAACAAATCTGAATAGCAATTGCAAATACTTTCAAACATTCACAATAATATCCTACGCAACCAAATACATCTATTCTCATTTATTCATCAAAATTCAACTCAATTGTATTCTTGAATTGTATATAAATCAATGTTAGTGTTACTGTTGTACATTTAAATGTTTGTCTTTGCTTTCAATCTGCTTGCATGATTTATTTCTAATATTTTTCTTTAATTGTGTCTTTAGAACACCAACGCTAATGAAAAATCCTTCTGATCACTCAAAATACATTCGCCAGTCTGCAACATATAATCATCAGATTTTTATAGCATGGGCGCGTTTTGTAGCCCCCCCCCCCTTGAGAGAATGCGGTATTGTGGTGTATGGAGGATTGATTTGTGACGGACGAGTTTTTATGGTGAATGTGAAAATTGTAATGAGTGAATGGGTCGTAAATCGGATTAGCTAGGTATAAGACAGTAAGGGAAGGCCAGCCTCAATCCCTGTCCCTTTTTTAGGCCTTGTGCCATAACTGTGTAACTTCACACAATAAATTTCAATATAACTTACTGATTTGCTCTCCGAAAATATGTCGGCTGAGTCATATCTCAGCACCTATTCGCTTTATCATCCTACCTAAAATATTCAAATTTTAATTTTTAAATAAATTAAGATAAACATATAGCGACATTTAATTAAAAAAGTTTTAAAGCGTTTAAGTTTTCCTATTTTTGAGTAACAGGATAAATATATCACTCATTAAACAAAATAAGAGTTACTCTGAAAATCAAAATAGTAATTCTGTTTAGTTTTTCCATCATTTTTTCAACCTAATTGAAATAGTAATTCAAAGTGATTTCCCTTGACAGCATTTTGATTTATCTCCCATGTGAATAATTTTGCGCGCTTTCTACGAAGATGGTATTTTCCTTGTCATGTGCATTATTGTGAAAGAGAATGTAAGCAAAAATGATAAATTAAAACCACTTCAATGATTCTTCTTTCCGATTTAATGTAAGTACAGAAAAATGTAATCTTTAATTGGTCTTACTATTGCTTTATTTTAATTTTCATTTAAAGAATGATATGAAAGATGAGCGATATGTGTACTGTAGACAAGAAAAACAACAAACAGTATTTTAATTACTGTAGTGTACACTGTACAGTTTGCAAGAATGGTAATATAATTTTTAGTAAAAAAACATTGTTAGTGTTTACTTTCGCTTGCAATCTTCAATTTTTGTATTTAAAATTTTTTTTTAATTCTTTTTTAAACAATCTTTTGAGATGACGTGTTTAGTTTTTCTATGTTTTGCAGCAAAAATTGATTTCTTCATACAAACAGAAAACAGTCATGGATCGAATTGTGGCTCTTGTCGATATGGATTGCTTTTTTGTTCAAGTTGAACAGAGATTAAATCCCGATCTAAAAGGAAAACCTTGTGCTGTGGTGCAGTACACGGGCAGCGGTGTGTAAGTAAAAATTTTGGAAATTAATTGAATTTCTCATCATATTTCCTGTCATTTATCGTAAGAACTAAAAATCCGTTTCAGTAAAAAGGCCTAAAGTTAAAAATAGTGACAAAAAAATTAAAAAAGAAAAAAAAAAAAACTCACAAAATATCTTTTCTGTTAACTCTCAATCGAGTCTCAAACATCTGCTATCGGAGACCCAATCTCCTCGGTTGGATCCACCACATCACACTAAGAGGGCTCCTTAAGGTCAAGCAAGACTTTCTTGATGTCTGTACGTACCAAAAAGCAGGGTTTCATTATCTGATTCTGTGTCGTATTTGCCCTCGTTGGGAGATGAATAATTCCTTTACCCTTCGAAATAAGGTTCGCATTTACAAATGTTTGTTTGACTGTTCTGTCCAATTTTGATATTTTGATTTTAAATGCAAAAAATAATTAAATTTTAAAATGTTATTTTTGCTTTGGATGCGGTCACTGCAAAAAAATTATCTGATTTGCTCCACTTTGCCGACTTGTGCAGATTTATGTTTAAAAACTGATTTTTATAATTTGAAAATAGAACTTTATATTGGTATTACTTACAGAAATAATTTTTTATTTGGATGCGGTAACTGCTAAAATCTGTACAAGTCAGCAAAAAAATGGAGCAAATCTGACAAACTCTTGGGAAAACTATTTTTCTTTAATGTTAAGAAAAAATTAATTTTATATATACAAAAAATATATGCAATTATATATAAAAATAATAAAATCTAATTAAAATTTAATTTAATTAAACTTAAGTTTTATTTTTTCTAAACTGCCGATTTTGTTCTCGACCTCTTCATAGGAAAGTAAAAAAACAACTGAATGAAGCAGCGATCATAAATTAAGACCAAAATCTAAAGCTCACATCACAAAAACAATTTCATGCATATTGTTCCATATGCTAAAAAAATACAGCAACAAAACAATAATAAACAAAAAAAGATTTACTACTTACATAAATAATTTTGTCAATCCAATCTAAAGAAAGTATTATTCTTTTTAAACTGACAACTTAAACATCTTTTTTTTCTTTGACCTTTCTTTTTTCTTTTCTTTTTTTTTTTAACAGACATAAAAACTTGTAAATAAATTCTTTTCTTCTACAAGATAGATAATTTCTTCAGATACATTTCTTTTTCTTCTTCAGAAATTCTGTTTCTCTTTCTTTGGAGCTGAAAGGGAAAAATAGTAAACACAATGCCTAACCTAGGCTAAGATCAAATTTTAAAATAAATATCTATTTAAAATAAAATCTTATAGAGAACGAGAATGGGGCAGAATTCTCTGCATTGAATGACTCTGCCAAAAAAAAAAAAAAAAATGGTGACTCTCCGAGTCAACAATACAAACAAATCAAAGGCAATAATTCCTCTTCTTGGGAATAAAATTACCTCTTCCAAATAAATGTCTCTTAGACAAAGTTGAAAGAAATCTCAACAAAACTTATAACCCGCATTTACCTTTGTTATCTTTAACAAACTAAACATCTACATTTGCGTCAATACCTGCAATAGGCCTTACAAGTCAAATCAAAATAAAATATAACCTTTCTCATGTTATATTTAAACAAATTTAACTTTTCTCAAGTTAGTAAACAAATTTTAGCTTTGGAATTCTACCAAAACTAATAAAAAATCTTTTCTACAGAGTCGCTTGATACGAAAGACTCACCATCCCTTCTTCCCATCCCTAAATAAAATCAGATAGTACTAATTATAAAGTTATAATTTAAATCTATCCAATGAAAATAATTTGACACCGAAAAGGGAGGGGTTGAGGCTGAGTCTTCACTAACTTATACCTAGCTAATCCAATTCACAACCCATTCATACATTACAATTTCCACATTCATCATAAGATCTTGTCCATCACCGATCAATCCTGCATACACCATAATACCGCATCCTCTCAAGGGGTACCTACAAAACGTGCCCCATGCCATAAAAATATAATGATTATATATGTACAATTAAAAGTTTACGGATGAATGAAATGAAAGGGGAGGGAGATGAACCCAGTAAGAAACGAAAACGATACACAAAAGTAACAAAACATAACTGATTTTAGTAGGGCCCTTCCAACCATCAAAAATGAGAGGCCGCTGTATTCTGCCCATTTGGACAAAATCAAGAAGCTCTCTCGCTGAGGATAATATCCTCTGATTAAAAGGAGTCATCTGCAGCTTCCAATTCCAAAAAAAGAGTGGCAACAAAATATTATTTGTTTTGCCATCAGACGCATATCGTCCAAAATATCAATACATCATCAAATATTTTATTACCGAAGTTATTGAAAAGATGTCTTCTCACGCTCTATATATATTAACATTCTAAATTTTTGTAAATAAAAATTTTCAAACTCTCCCATCAAGAAAAGAAAAATTCTTTTTAAATTGTAATAGCTAAATTTCAATCTATAAGTTGGGCTCTAAAATTACCAAAGATAAAGAAAAACAATCTTGCAACATTGTTCTTTTTAGAGTATTTCCTAACAGAACACGCTCAAACAATCATTTTCAAAATTACATCTCAGTACCAAAGATAATCAATATTTCTTTCACATACGTTTTTAATTTTCCTTCTGGGTCTAGAACTAGGATAGAATTCAGAAGGGCTGCCAATAGTCATACTACTATTTAAATTATTATCTTTTGTATTTTCTGCAGGGGGACTATTAGTTTGGTGGGAGTGAGTGATCAATAACTCTAAAGGATAAAAATGTTTAATGGAATATAAGTAAAAATTACCATCAGGTTTCTTTACATTAACGGATCTAATATATCCATCATTACCAGATATCACATCAACTACTCTACCTAACGACCAATAGGGTCTAGAATTAGCTGGGTTTTTGATGAGCACTACATCATCAACTTTTATAACATTCCTAAAATCTTTCTGATATAATTCTAGAGACTGTTCTCTTAAACTCAACAAGTAATCTTCATGCCACAATTTGTGGAATGTATCAAGAAGATCTCTTTTCTCCAGACTGTTCAATAGATTCATTCTGTCAGGTACATCAATGTCAAAGAAATTATCTTTAATATTTAAGAACACATAATGCATTGGGGACAAAGAAAAGCATTAGGAGAAATAACATCAAGTTCATAATCTCCAGAACATCTATATGTTAGCAGACAAGAATTAACAAAATTTTGTATGTCAGATAACACAGTAAGCAATTCAAAGTAAGGTAGCCTCTCTTGTCCCACTAATTTATACAAACAGCCTTTCAATGTCTTGATAAGTTGCTCCCAAATACTACCAAACCATGCAGAATACAAAAGTATTGCTAAATGTTTAATATTATAAGAGCTAAACCTTCCTTCAAATTCACCAGAAATAAATACTTGTTTAATCAAGTTACAACCTGCAATAAAAGAACATGCATTGTCAGAATATATACGAATACTCCATATAAATTAAAAATCTCACTAAAGCAAGAACCACTGCATGAGCCGACATATCTGCTACCAATTCTAAATGAATGGCTCTGACATTGAAACAGGTGAAAACCAAAATGTACATATTTTTCATTTCATTTCCATCCTCTATCCATAAATATCCAGTGAAATCTATCCCCATATGTGAAAAGGTCTAATAAAATTAACCCTATGCTTGGGTAGATTGGTTACCTTAGGATAATTACAGGACAAAGAATTATATTTTCTACATAGGCTACAAGAAGAAATAGCAGATTTAACTGCTTGTCTGGATTTATTAATCCAAAAACCAGAAAGATATAATTTATGAAGAGTAGCAACAATACCCAAATGTTTACATTTTTCATGGCAATCCATAATGACTAACACAGTAAAATGACAAAATCTAGGTAACAAGATAGGATACAACACCTCAGGTGTATAAAGATGAGATTCTCCAATTCTTCCTTTACATCTAATCAACCTGTCACCGTCCAAAAACAGATTTAAATTAGCAACCAGAGAGCGTCGTCTCAGTTGAAAAGGGTTTAACAAGAAATATTTTTCTTTAGGGAGAAATAAAGACTCGTTAATTTTATCAAATGCAATCTATCAGCCAAAACAGGATCCAAGTTTGATTTCTTTTAAGGAACTGGATAATGAAGAAAATCTTTTAACATCCAAAACAGAAACCACATCTAAAATAACAAGCAAGTTAGTCACTGTATTAAACAATACTAAAGCTTGACTGTCAGAATTCAAACAATTTAATTCACTGGAAGGCCATTTAATAAACTCTCCAGACAACCACTGAGGGCCATGCAATCAAAACGGTAACACAGTTCGAATTTTGTAAGAGTAATACCTCTAGTAAGTAAATCAACAGGATTATCTGCTGATGGTACATATTTGAAGTAGAGATCAAAACCAAGTTCATAATCTTTTTAATTTTTCTTTAATATCTTTAAGTCTATTTTTTTATAAACACACTTTTTGTTCTAATGTCTTCAGATAATATCCAAGACAACACTACTTGAGCATCAACTGCCAGTATAATCTTTCCTATCACATTTGAAGGAAAGTTTTTCAATATATTAAATGAACATTTAAAGGCTAAAACCGCAGATAACTATGAAGAGGGTAATGTTTTTCTAAGTAAAGGTGCAAATTTAGCTTTGGTGAATATCAATTTAGTTGAACCCTTTTGAAGGATATAAACTGCAAAACCAAAGGCCTTTTGTGAAGCATCACAAAATATCAAATCAGAAGCAATTGAAGAATCAAGGACAAATCTAGGAAATGTTAAACTATCAAACGAAATAAATTCTGCAAAAATTTTATCCCGAACACTCTGAAGGTACACATTCATCCAATTTCAAATTTCTTTTCCAAATGTCGCTAAGAAGTAGTCTTCCCTTGATTGTTACAGGAATACAAAGAAATAATGGATCAAAAACACTAGCATTTTGTAACAAAATTCCTCTCTTGGTTTTAGCTACCCTTAGTAGTAACACTTATCTCTATAAGAGATAGAATTTTGGAAATC